TATATATATATATATATATATATATATATATATATATATATATATGTATGTATGTATGTATGTATACGTATAATATATATATATATAATGTACGTATGTATGTATGTATACATATGCACATATACGTACGCGACACGCGCATCTATACGCCAACACTCGCGCGTATAGCTCTGTGCGCGTGTGTGCATATATACATATGTACAATGTATATCTATACATATATGTGAACGTTCACACGCGTATGTACACACCACGAACAGGTTCAGAGTCGACTAGAAAAGGATACGCGTTGCCGACCATTGTGTATACACGTAGAAACGTGTTCGTTGAAACGAAGCGTAGTCGTCGTTCGAAACTATGGAACCGTACACGAATGAAATGTACAAATTTTCTACGAGACTCTGCGCGTACACCTTCGTCACACGAGCATATACAGCATAGGGCTTCGTAAGCTGCGACACAGAGATATATATATATATATATATATAGAGAGAGAGAGAGAGGGAGAGAGGAGAGATAGAGAAAGAGACGAAACAATCCTATGCCAAGAAACGATTTTCTCGTTTCCTCTCTTTCGTTCTTCCATTTGTTTGAAAGTTTCGAGCGATTCGGGCATGTCGCATCTTACGAAACACCGAATACGCGCCTATACACGTCATACGCCATTTCGTAAGCTTACACTTATTCCATCCTTGTATATCCTTTGCAAAAACTTTGTCGTTGAACGCTCGTATCTTAACATCTACTACTATTACTACTACTACTACTACTATTACTACTACTACTACTACTACTACTACTACTACTACTACTACTACTACTACTACTACTACTACTACTACTACTACTACTACTACTACTACTACTACTACTACTACTACTACTACTACTACTACTACTACTACTACTACTACTACTACTACTACTACTACTACTACTACTACTACTACTACTACTACTACTACTACTACTACTACTACTACTACTACTACTACTACTACTACTACTACTACTACTACTACTACTACTACTACTACTACTACTACTACTACTACTACTACTACTACTACTACTACTACTACTACTACTACTACTACTACTACTACTACTACTACTACTACTACTACTACTACTACTACTACTACTACTACTACTACTACTACTACTACTACTACTACTACTACTACTACTACTACTACTACTACTACTACTACTACTACTACTACTACTACTACTACTACTACTACTACTACTACTACTACTACTACTACTACTACTACTACTACTACTACTACTACTACTACTACTACTACTACTACTACTACTACTACTACTACTACTACTACTACTACTACTACTACTACTACTACTACTACTACTACTACTACTACTACTACTAGTACTATTACTACTACTACTATATCGGTATCGATCCTGGTTCCGCTTTTCTTTCCTTTTTCGCGTTACGAAGAACGTTGGGACGCGGACGAATTTAAGAATTCGATCCGGATTCCGTTTCAAGAATTCGTCAACGATTCGCTTAAAAGTTGAAAGGAAATCGGAATCGCCTTCGCGCGAAATCTTTTCTTTACCATATTCCAGAGCTTTGTACTCGCGCGTTCGTCGAAACGCTCTCCAAACGAGCAGTTGATTCAGATTTCGTTCGGTTTCGCTATCCTTCGGGATCGGAATAGAAGCGGCTCGTAGAAAAATCAATATCTTTGCCTTGTTTCTAATACGCGATTTACACTCGGGGATCGCGATACGCGATCGATGCATTCACGCGCGTATACTTATCGAAGCGACTGCTTTTGGAGAGCGCGTTTCAACGCATAGAGTCGTTCCGTTTCGAGTTCGCGATAGCATATCCTACACGTTATACCATACCATGCTATGCTATGCTATATCATACTATACTATACGATGCTATATACCACACTACTCTACACTACACCGTACCACATACTCTTCATCGTACTATACAATATCATATTATATTACATCACGTTCTATTCTCTATTCTATTATATGATATAATATTATCGTATTAAATTATATCGTATCGTATCGCGTCGTATCCGGACTATTTGAACGAAACGCGTCTGTCCGTCCGTAAGACAGGCAGGAAATCTTTGGAAACCGACGCAGCTAATACGTGCGCTTTATTTCAGACGTTGAAGACGTCAAGTTTGTCATCAATTTTGACTATCCTTCCTGTTCGGAGGATTACGTCCATCGAATCGGTCGAACAGGTCGTCGTCAAAAAACCGGTACAGCTTATACATTTTTCACGCCGAACAACTCGAACAAGGCCAACGACCTAATCCAGGTACTGAAAGAAGCGAATCAAGTTATAAATCCAAAGTTGCTGGAGCTTGCAGATAGTAAAAGCGGTGGATACGGGAGACACAGAGGTACCTTGCTTTGCGAGATTCTCTTTTCAGGCAAAAGCCGTATTAAAAAGCTCGAAAAGGGCCGAACCTTGATTACTAAAAGGCTAAGATTCGATCGCGCGCGCGCACGGTGTCGCAAATGAAATTCAACTGGTGCTCGTTTAGGCGGAAGAAATCGATGGCGATCGAGGGGTGGCCGCAACGGAAAGGATCGCAGTTACTCCAGAAGCAGAAGTCGAAGTCACAGTAGGGAACACAACGGCCGCGGGAACCGTCGGAGTTACAGCAGGAGTTACTCTCGAAGTCGTAGCCCTGTTGGCGGCAGCAATCGTACAGGTAGGTACGCAGCTGGTGTGTAGTAGGTGCACACGACGCGTTGCGTTGCGGTCGCATCGAGTTGGGTTGTTGGGTTGGGTCGCGTCGCGTCGCGTCGCGTCGCATCGTACACGCATCGCGTCGCGTCGCGTTCCGGCCCGAGGTGTCGCGTCCCCGTCGCGTGTAGCGGTGACGGCAGCGCGGAGGTAGCGCGAAGGTAGCAGGCTCGGCCGAGCCGCACACACCGTACGCGCCGTAAAAACAACTGTACATTTCTTTCTAGAGGTTATCGGTAAGAGTTACTGGAGCAGCGAAAGATGATCTTCCACCAGTGGTTAAGGACCAACGCTCGCTTCACGAATCGTGATTCTCTTTTTTTTTATACCCCTTTTAAACTATTCCGGACACACGATATCACAGTCGCAGTCACGGTCACAATCGCGATCACACTCCTGCTCGTACTCGCGCATCGTACACCTGCGTCGTAAAAATATTGGTGTAACATCGGTGTTCTCTCGACGCGCGAACGTATATCGCTTACGGTTCTCGCGTATCGTATAGTTAATTATTTTAGAAAAGACGATGAGACAAGATAAGAAAAAAAAATACAAAAGAATGAAATAGAATAGAATAGGATAGAGTATACGCGCGCGCGCGCATCTCTGTCCCGTGTCGCGGAGCAACGACGATACGATCGCGGCATATGGATTCGAAAGGGAACCCGGGAACAGTCGATCCGTCTGTATACGCAAAAATCCGTAGGTTTCTACGATTTTACGCCTGTACGTTTCTAGAATCTTCTCGCCTCGGTTACTCCCTCGAGCTTCGATACCGTAGGGAAACGTAGATCGTAAGCCTGATCGCGGATACGTTCGATCAACGTTTTCTCATCGTATACAACTTATATATCTTTTTTAACGACACCGTAACGTTCGATGTATCCGAAGTCCGAAGTCCGAATTCCGAAATCCGAACAGGCTTCGCATAATTACGACCGAACGAATGCGTTTAGAAGACGAATCATCGCCCAAAACCTACACCGATTCTTCGAACACGTATCACTATTTATAGCTTATAGCAACTCTCGTAGATGGCTAGTGGTTGCTAGCGATTAATTCGTACACGTATTCAAGCATTTAAAACTAATGGAATAATGTACAGTATTTAACAGAAATGTCATAAATAAATTTATTAACTATTTAACCTCGGCTTTCGTACTTGCTTTTATCCCGCATCCCTCGCGACGTTCGAACGACGATAACGCGTTTCGTTTCTCGTTTCGAGTCGCGACGGCACACCGTGTCGGCGCGTAACCGTATACATAATCCGGTGTCGATGGTATCGATGGTATCGATGGTATCGATGGACGAACGCGCGATATCTCGACGGAGCGCGATTCGATGGACCGATTCTAGACCGAGACGCGCGTTACGCGGAAGCGGAGAAGAAAAAGAAGAGCGTAACGTCGTCGAACGAAAACCAGCAAAGATTTATGAATGAACTGTAGTACGGTTGGCCGGATCGATGGAGCGGCTCCCCGCGAAACCCGCGGAGCCCACGGGATCGCGGGGAATGCAAGGGCGTAGTAATCGATAGAGTGATGTCGATGGGCCAAGGGGCCAAGAGGCCGAGTGGCCGAGAACAAGGGCCGAGGCTGAGGCTGACACCGATGTCGACGATGTTGCTGCTTGTGTTGTTGCTTATGTTGCTGCTGCTACTGCTGCTGCTGCTGCCGACGATGACGACGACGACAACGACGACGAGGAGGAGGAAGGGCCGCGCTCGAACCAGAGCGAAGCGAGCGAGAGAGATCGAGACAGACCGTACGGTGGGCAGAGTCCATTCAGTAGAAGCGGCGAGGCTGTTATCGATTGCGTGGGTAGTTCGGAGGAGACGGTTACCCCCACTTTGGCTCATTCAGCAGCCGCACTGCCGTGACAACTCTCCGGAGCTTCGCGGGGCGGTCGGGGGTGGTCGTAGGCGACGGGAGCGGCGGAAGCAGCGGAGACGGGGAAGGGGCCTTGAAACCCGGAGTCACGGCGGGCAGGATATCGAGGGGCGAGGCAACCCCCACGGTGGTCCGTTTACCGAAATTCCGTGGGTGGTTAACGAGGGACGACGCGCGCGCCGTTCCATCCCTGTCCGCTCGTCCCCCGCCCCTCTTCCGTCTCACGCGCGCGCGTTATCGGCCCGAACGGGGTACGGCTTTTTTTACAAAATTCGCACGACTCGTCGACCCGATTCCGTACCAATGGTTTCGCTTCGACGAAAATTCTCGTCGGTCGATGAGCCGTTCCTAAATCGAAATTCTATCGGAAGGCAGGAAGCGCTCGGTTCGGTGTTCTGGGTTCGGGGGTAAGTCGCGAGGAGAGTCCGACGATTTCGAGTCCTCGAGAGAAACTTGTTGCGCGGAGAGGCGGCTGGCTCGCGCTTCGACGCCCTTTTACGGCGTCGATCGACCGATCGAAAATCTTTTCCATCTCTTCGAACTTTGTATCGTCGAGGAACCATCGAACGAACCGTGCGCGACTTCCGACGTTCTTCCGGATCGGTCGGTTCGTCTCTCCGCCCAATTATCGCGATTCCATAATCTCTGTCGCGAAGCCGATGAAAATTTCCGGCACGCGATTTCCGAGACGATCGAACCGAATGGAAATACGGACGAAAAGTTTGTCGCGAAATCGGAAATCGATTCTTCCGATCTCAACGATCGCAACGCGCGGAGAACTTTTCTCGACGAAACGAACGGGGGAAAATAAGAAAGAGAGAGAGAGAGAGAAACGCGGTTGCTCGCGGCGCTCGCCGAAACAACGAGATCGTCGGCGCGCCTACGGCGAGCGAAGGAAGGACGCGGTGAGGGTGACGGAGAGGGCGAGAATCGGGAGAGAATGGAGCGGCGGCGGCGAGGTGAGGCGAGAACGGCGGGAGGACGCTGGTGGTTGCAAAGAGGGTGCAACGGGGAGATGAGAGGGAGCTCGAAAGAGGAGGGTGGAAAAGGCAGGGAGGAAACGAGAGCCAGGGGTGTGCTGGAAGCGGGGATGGAAAGGAAGGCGAATAGTCGACCCGATGACGGCAACTCTGTCAGTTGCTCGTCGGTTTCCGGACTGCGTGGACTGGCAGGTTAGTGAATCCGACTCTCGTTCATTCACCAGCTTCTCCTCGTTCCACTCTTGACCTCCTTCCATCCTTGCCACCGTCTCTGTTTCGCTCACCCTCTCCCTCTCTTTCTTTCTCTCTCTCTTTCTCTCTCTCTCTCTCTCNAACGGGGTACGGCTTTTTTTACAAAATTCGCACGACTCGTCGACCCGATTCCGTACCAATGGTTTCGCTTCGACGAAAATTCTCGTCGGTCGATGAGCCGTTCCTAAATCGAAATTCTATCGGAAGGCAGGAAGCGCTCGGTTCGGTGTTCTGGGTTCGGGGGTAAGTCGCGAGGAGAGTCCGACGATTTCGAGTCCTCGAGAGAAACTTGTTGCGCGGAGAGGCGGCTGGCTCGCGCTTCGACGCCCTTTTACGGCGTCGATCGACCGATCGAAAATCTTTTCCATCTCTTCGAACTTTGTATCGTCGAGGAACCATCGAACGAACCGTGCGCGACTTCCGACGTTCTTCCGGATCGGTCGGTTCGTCTCTCCGCCCAATTATCGCGATTCCATAATCTCTGTCGCGAAGCCGATGAAAATTTCCGGCACGCGATTTCCGAGACGATCGAACCGAATGGAAATACGGACGAAAAGTTTGTCGCGAAATCGGAAATCGATTCTTCCGATCTCAACGATCGCAACGCGCGGAGAACTTTTCTCGACGAAACGAACGGGGGAAAATAAGAAAGAGAGAGAGAGAGAGAAACGCGGTTGCTCGCGGCGCTCGCCGAAACAACGAGATCGTCGGCGCGCCTACGGCGAGCGAAGGAAGGACGCGGTGAGGGTGACGGAGAGGGCGAGAATCGGGAGAGAATGGAGCGGCGGCGGCGAGGTGAGGCGAGAACGGCGGGAGGACGCTGGTGGTTGCAAAGAGGGTGCAACGGGGAGATGAGAGGGAGCTCGAAAGAGGAGGGTGGAAAAGGCAGGGAGGAAACGAGAGCCAGGGGTGTGCTGGAAGCGGGGATGGAAAGGAAGGCGAATAGTCGACCCGATGACGGCAACTCTGTCAGTTGCTCGTCGGTTTCCGGACTGCGTGGACTGGCAGGTTAGTGAATCCGACTCTCGTTCATTCACCAGCTTCTCCTCGTTCCACTCTTGACCTCCTTCCATCCTTGCCACCGTCTCTGTTTCGCTCACCCTCTCCCTCTCTTTCTTTCTCTCTCTCTTTCTCTCTCTCTCTCTCTCTCTCTCTCTCTCTATCTCTCTCTATCTCGCTAACTCTGCATGTCCTCTGGATCCATTCATGTGACTGGACGACTGGCCGACTGGTTCTTTGCTCGTCCTTTGCTCGTTCTCTCGTTCCCTCGTTCGCCGCTTGCTCGATTTACGCGAGTTCATCCTCCGTTCGAAACACCGATCCTTTTTCTTCCAACTCCTTTCGCTTCTTCCTCATCTTCTTTTCCGCGAGACATCCTACTCGTCCTTCCATCGCGATCGCGACCTGCAAAGCCGACCAAGTTAAAAATGTGCTCGCGACAAGAAAAAGCAAAGAAAAGAAAGAATAAGAGCGAAGAAAAGGAAAGAAATTAAGAGGCGAGATCACGGTTCGTTTGTCGATTCCGTGAAAGATTACGAGATATTTGGAGAAAAAAAACATGGATCGAGTTCAACGTTGTTTCATTATTTCCGAAATAACGCGAAAAAACAACAATTTCTTACGAAACGAAAACGCGACTTTCCATCTGCGATACCGCATTTGCCGAAAAGTCGGAAATTCCTTCCACGTTTCAACCTGTTACGCCTAAAAATAAAGAACTTGTTTAGGAGACACGAGTTGGTTCGTTTACCGTCGATCGTCGACCACCGACCGTTCGTTCACCGATTCGATCGAGATTCGAAACGAGCTTTCGACGAACGCGAACTTGCGCGATTTATCCTAATTTTCGAAGCGACGAACGCGTTTGCGCGCCGAAGACGTTTCGAAATGGATCGCTTTCGAATCGGATTCGAGTTTCCGTAGGCAGAGATTTCGTAAAATGTTACCGAGTTCGCGATTATCGGTACACCGACGAATCGAAACAACCTCGACGCGACCGTGGAAGCGGCGCACCGACGACGATTCCTGTCGTCCTCTGCCATATGGTTACCGAATAGTTCCCGAACGACGACAACTTTCGTCGAAGAAATCGGCATTTTTTCGGATACGATTCCATTTTCGGGAAACTGTTCCACGAACGTGCGTCGAGCGTGTTCGAACTATTTGGACGTTCGCTGGTTCCGGCCAGCAACGTTCCATGTTGTTCGGTATTGGAATCATCCCTGTCGCTTCCCCTTCGTCGTCGCCCCACCAAGCTCTGCCATCCCGCCCGCTCCCCGCGCACGCACGCACACGCACACACTTTCTCTCTCTCTCTCTCTCTCTCTCTCTCTCTGTGCGTGTGCGCGCGCGCGCGTGTCAGCATCCTCTTTCTACCGGCAATCGGCCCGATCCGCCGTCGATCTCGTAATTTTAATCGCCTTCGTTGTTACTTCGATTTGGCAGAAAATGCGCACCGTAGCCGTATGGACCGCTTTCGTATTAGCGTATTCGAGCAGCCCGTTGGTGGCCGGTATACGATTCATCGATCCGATCTCGGCTCAGTCGGGAAATACCGGCGACATCGGCGAGAAGTGCATGCACCTGACCGAGCCAACCTGCGAGGAATTGAGGGCGATGTGGAGGTACACCAAACGACAGAGTAACGCTGCGAGTTACAATATCAGGGAAACGTATTCCGAAGGCGTCGAACCTCCCGTCAATTATCGTGGTAAGAACGGTTTCGTTGTACCGCGCGCTCGCGTGTTCCAACCTTTCGACCCCGACCCTTGCCCTCGCCCTCGCCCTCGCCCTCGTCCTCGCCTTCGCATTCGCCTTCGCGCATTCGCCTTCGCCCTCGCTCCAACCCTGACCCCGACCCTGACCCCGACCCCGATCCCAACCGGTTGCTCCGCGATCGCGTCGCGCGTATCGAAGATCGACCGGATTCGCGCGCTCGTACGATCGACGAATCCGTTTGTTCCGACGATCGATACGAGTTGCGCGTCGACACGCGAACGAAACGAATTCTTCTTAGCTCGTGCCGCGAAAATGATAAAACATGAGAGAAAATTCGAGAAAATACTTGGTGTCGTCAGGTGGCGCACGAAACCGCGCGGGCGGTAGCACTCCGATTTATGGAAAAGTCGTCCACAAAGTACCGGGAGGAAGCAGATTGAGAAACGGAATGCGACATTCCTCGAAACAGCAAAACAAATATCTTTACGGAGAGGTCAGTCATCAGTTCTCGGGAGGAAGCCGACGCCCCAACGTTCGCACGATGGTTGGCAGGTTCGACCGTTTGAAGGAGCTGCTTCTCGAAGATCGTGCCCGCGAGTTACAGGTGAATATTCGTCACGGTTGTGTTACGATACCGTCGTTCCTCCGAATATTTGTTAGCATTTTCTTTGTTTATCGTTTACCATCGGTTTCTACCGTTTTCCACCTTCGTGGATTCGTATAAAAATCTCTGACAAACGATCAACCGATCGGTCGATTCAGGAACAACGCAACGCCGAGGAAATGGCCGCGAAGACGTCCGGCTACGAATACGCGACGGACAACGAAGATCAGCTGCAAATGCAGCAACATCGAAAACAATTTTTCAAGCCGATATTTCAAATCTCGTCGAAACCGCACGACGAGCTCGGCCTGTACGCTTACAATATGCCGAACATCGGCCAGGCATGGTCGGTGAGTAAACGTTTCGAAGATTTTCAGAATCGTTCGCATCGGTAAAACGCGATCGCGGTTCGGATCGTTCCGACATCGTAACAACCAACTAACGCGCTATTTATTTTTCAGAGGAGCGGACCGCAATCTCGCGAGTACGCGTTGCGTTAATCCGCCCCCGGGACTAGCCGTCGATTCCGCGATTGGTAAAATCGGTCATGGAAACGGATACGGATACGGATACGGATACGGATACGGATATGGAAACTGAAACTGAAACTGAAACTGAAACTGAAACGAAAACGGAATTCGATCCCAAAGTTGGCGAGGCTCGCCTCTCTGTTCCGTCGATGGTACGTTGTCGCCGACGCGCGCGTCAACGTACGCGACTCGTACTCGCGCTCGCACGTTCGTTTCTTTACTCTCGTTCGATCTCCGACACGGTCTATCGTTCGCGCCAACGGAACGTAACAATTTTCCGTTTATCCGGCTGTCCGACACAAAAACGGAACGAATCGAGTCGTTATATTTTCTCGACGCGTTCGAATTTATACGCTGTTCCTCTTTCGTTGCGCATTCTGGCGCGATCTAGAGCAATTTAGCGCATTTTACCGCATTTTACCGCATTTTACCGCATTTTACCGCATTTTAGCGCGTTTTACCTCGTTCCGATCTATTCGCATTCGGTCCAAAAGGTGGGATTTCTTTTACGCGTCCGTGCGATCCAACGTCAATGCCGATTTCCGGCGCTTTCAACAGCGTCGGATGGACGCGCGAGTGGATGCGCCCAACCTCGCGACGATATCCGTTGTTGTTCGCGGGGTTGTCGTTCGAGACTCCGTTCGGGCCTTCCTTCCGTTTATTTCGGGATGGAACATACGAGGAATAGCTGTAACAGAAATCGAAGTTGAGCTATCGGTATCGGCGTATAACGGAGGAACGGCAATTTCCACCGCTCCGTTTCGACTTGGACAATAAAATAGAAAGACTAATATTTTGAAAATTTTGACAATACTACGCGACATTGTACGTACTAAGATAAGAGACTATAAAGCATAACCGATGGAACTATACAAATGACAATAATTAATCTTAAGGAATCTCTCGTTGCTCGTCGCGTACGCGCGATCGACGCGATCGTCGTTCGAAACTTTGCCGCGTACTTTCACCGGAGAACCGTTTTTATCCAAATTACGTTTTCGCTCGCATCGTACATACCTGTTCGATCCGGCGACGCGTCGCGTCCATCGAATCCGCCGATCGCGTGTGCGCGCGACTTCGATTCGACCCTTGGCCGTTCGTTCGATCGTAACGTTCGTCGCTGCAACCGGAACTCGTACCCCGCGACTACCGTTCGTCGTCTCGAGCGTTTCTCGCCTCGCGATGCTCTATAATCTATGATCTATAATCTATAAAGTTCGAAGAAAAACGATAACGATCGATACGCGCGTGTATCGTTGCGAAGCTAAAATTTATCCTTTTCCGAGATCGCAACGCCGTTACGAAATTCCAGGCTAACGATAAAGGCTCGAGGGTTGAATTTACGATACGATATACGATATGATTTAATATGAATATAGAAAGACGATAAATGTAACGTTTCCTCTAATCGTGTCGGAAAAGATCAAGTAGGTTAACGATACAGACGTTTGTGTGGCTTAAATCATATCTCGTGTGCTGAGAATTAATAACTTTCAGCTCCTACGGTGCGTACAAAATGAAAACTTC